GGAGTTTTGAGGATTTTCTTTTACTTGAGTCTCTTTCGTTGATTTTCTCGAGTTCCTCCGCTTTTCTTCGGGTTTTCTGGACGACGTTTCTTTCGGGATTTATTTTTTGAGATGCATTTAGGTTTGCTATACTTAAGGAACAGCGGATCTCACGGGCTTACAGGTTTGCTTTACTTTTTACAGCAATTAATTTTCCTGTTCCTACCTGTTAGTGCTCTTCTTATACAGTATGTTATACCATTTCTGTTTCTACCTGCTACTGCTTTTCTTATACATCATGTTATACCATTTCTGTTTCTACATGCTACCGTACCGCACAGCATGTTATATTATTCATGTTTCTACTTGCTACTGTTCTTCCCATATAGCATGTTATACTGCTCTTGTTTTGCCTACTACTGTTCCACGTGCATTATATTGTTTGTTCCTGCGTTGCACACTTTACATTATATAACTTCAAACATGTTTCCTTTTTGCATAGGATGTTTAGAGGACTACAACCATAGGGCCGTTTGATTTAACACTATAACTGGACACCCTAGATAACTTAAACTCGTCATGTCGGGGAGCTTGGAGCTAACGTAGTGGGCAGCACGCCATCTTCAACAGCAAAACATGTCTTCCCCAGCGAAACCATCCATTTTCCTAGAAATTAAACAATGATCCATAGGATTTCGAGGTTGTTTGTCTAGCGCAACATAAACCCTCTACCTTTTCTTTAGGCATTCGTATAGCTCTGCCGTACGATTTAAGCCCTAAACTCGTTCTAGGTTCCGAGGTCGTCGTCAGATACGACGTAAACCCTCATATCTTCTAGGCAACTTGTGTGACCGTGTCACGCGAATATAAGTCCTAACTAAATAAAATTGGCAGGATGAAACACTTTAATAATTTCTTCTTAAAGCTGAAGCCAAACCATAGGATAGACTGGGAACCTACTGAGGTTCGGCTTAGGATCTGTGGCTTTCCCTAGTTTCTCTTCATTTGGATTCCTCAACAATGTTCCAGATTTGAGCTTTTCCCCCTTCACACCTCTTTGTCCGATTTCGTTGTAAAGTCCTATC